TTGGCTAGCTTCACTTAGCATAATCTGCTCTAATGCCATCCATTTCCCTGCAAAATCCATTTAAACTTTTGTTTTTATGAAATCTTTTTTGTCCCTGGCAATACATTCTTTGTCTTCAAATCTATTGCTTTGAATTTATACCATCACTTTAGCTTCCTTATTACGGTGGCATGTCATATCTTTTTTCATCATTTTACTTTTAATGTATGTTTTGACTTTATAGTTTATATATAGACATAATATTGTTGAGTCATGATTTTATCCATTTTGATTATCTCTAATATGTCGTTTTTAAAACAATGCAAATGTATTATAATTATCAGTACAAATAGATTGGTCTTTTTGGTTTGGGTTCACTGAAATTTTAATCAAATGATATTTCAACATCTGCTAATGGTCAGTGTTCAATCAAAAGACAAATCATACAGGAATTTTGACAGGAAACATTTAACATAAAGAATTATTGACTATAACAGTGGGATTGAATATCAAAATAGTAGATAACTGTTATACCTAAAACAAAGATTTAGCACCAAAAACAAGTCTATGTGCACATGCGTGTGCGTGCATGCACACGCACACATACCCACACACACACCATCCAAGAATAAGAACAAGACCCCACTGATAACAGCCATGGCTGATCCAGCTGAGCCAACAGAAACAACTGAAAATCCACTCTCAAGACCTTTCCAGAATTCCACCTCTTGGGTGTTGGGAAAGCTGCTCACAGACACATGTCTTACCAGAGGTGCTCTGCATGAAACTATTTGAGGTTCCACTGGAGAAGCTGCAGACAGCAGTATTTTGTGGTCCTCTGGGCACTTCAGGAGCCTGGCACAGAGAAGCTTCCCATGCCACCAATATAAGCATTAAAACTGTTTAATTTATTTAAATTTTGTAAATTTTGTTGAAAAATGATGCTCAAATACTTTTATTGATAGACTATTATTGTGTTTCTAATGTTATTTATATTTTACTTTTTGTCTGTTTATTTATACCAAGAAATTCTTTTATCCTCACCTACACTTTACTTAGGTTTTCTATATCACTAATTTCTTCTTTTATTATTATAGTCAGCCTTCCATAGTCACTAGTTCCATCCCTGTGGATTCAAGCAACAGCAGATAAAAAATAATTGGAAAAAAAATGTTGGCACTACTGAACATATGCATCTTTTTCTTACCCCTATTCCTTAAAGAATACATTATAATAACTATTTACATTTTATTTACATTTATTAGGAATTACAAGTAACCTAGACATGATTTAATGTGTACAGAAGGATACACACAGTTTATATGCAAATACTGTCATTTTTATAAGGCACTTAAGCTTTCACGGATTTTGGGAACCATGAGTATTGGAATCAACCTGCACAGATAGCAAGGGATGTCTATATATGCAGATCACAAAGTAGTTAAGCTTAGGAGTGAAATTTGGGCTAACATTTGATTTTTTTTTTCTGTTTTCTAGCTATGGGACCTTAGGCAAGGTACTTAACCTCTTTTACCTGTTGTGATTTTATTTTTGTTTTTATGTAACAAAAACTATGTCATTGTTAGAGAGTATTTCTTTTGATAATAATATTGTTCCACCAGCTTTTACTTATTTGGTATATTAGTTCAGAATTCAAATTCATGTTAAAAACTAAGTAAACAAGTAAAATTTTACTAGTTTAATTAGATAAAAATGTAACTATCTCTCATCTAACAATGTATTCAATGTTTAGCATTTAGATACCAACATCAGCAGGATGACACTGGTGTCCTCTCACTAATCAAGAAGGGAAGAATAAATACTACAAAGCACCCAATAGTCCTTTGATCACTTGTATTCTTTCATTTTCATTCACACAATTTAAACCATTTTCCACTTATTTATTTTACAAGGGACTCTTGATGTAATGTATGAAATAAAATAATTTCAAAATGTACAAAATATATGACCATACTAATACTATATAAAATGTTACATAATATTATATATGCATAATTTTAAAGTAGTACATGTAAAAAAGTAAACAAGTAAAAC